ATTACAATTTGGATTATTCATTCGCATAGAATACTATTCAAAACAGACGTGAGCTCCCGTTTTCAATTGGAAATATTTGAATAAAATTGAATTTAATATACAGGGTGAGATGAAAAAATTCCAACCAATTTCAGACTTCTGTCATTTCTAAACCACTCGTCCGACAGCTGTTAAAATGTTATTCCGCGCTTCGCCGGAAATGGGCTAAAATACCGCAGAGCAACATTCGGGCAGCGTTTGACGATTTCATTGGCCGTTAATTTCAGGCCAGGCCATAATTCGTGCCAAATATGAACAATTCAATCAAATTTAAAATGATTTTAAAATTTGATGCCATTTCCGACATTTTTTGCTTTCATTCAATAAAATTTAAAAATAAAAAATGTAAAAATTATGGCGTTTGACTTTGTTGCTGTTTGATTTTGTCTCACCCTGTACATAGCCAAAGGGCCTGCAACATCGTATTCAATAGGGCTTGTGGCATTTTAATAAATTTTTTTGAAAGTCTTTCAGGCTCGTGCCATCCTAAGAATGAGTCATGGAATTTGAAGGTATATTTTTTGCGCACTGTGGATTAAAAAAAAAATCATATATTTTTTTGAAAAATTCCTTTAATGCGGATTCAAACAAAAAATATTTTTTTAAAGAATTCCACAATCGTGGAATTAAAAAAAAAACATTTTTAAAGAACTCCATAAACGTGGATTTTTTAAAAATATTTATTAAAGAATTCCTCCAACGTGGATTTAAAAAAATATTTATTAAAGAATTCCACAAATGTGGATATTTTAAAAAATAAATATTTTTTAAAGAAAAAAAATGTAAAATTTAAAAAAATATCCTTTTTAAGAATTCCACAAACGTGGATTCTTTAAAAAATATATCTTTTTAAGAATTCCACAAACGTGGATTTTTTAAAAATTATTATTAAAGAATTCCACAAACGTGGATTTAAATTTTTTTCAAAGGACTCCACAAACGTGGATTTTTTAAAAATTATTTTTTAAAGAATTCCACAAACGTGGATTTTTTAAAAATTATTTTTTAAAGAATTTCACAAGGGGATATTTTTTAATAAATATTTTTTCAAAGAATTCCATTAACGTGGATTTTTTAATAAATATTTTTTCAAAGGATTCCATAAACGTGGATTTTTTAAAAAATATTTTTTCAAAGAATTCCAAAACGTGGATTTTTTTAAAAATAATTTTTAAAGAATTTCACAAGGGCATATTTTTTAATAAATATTTTTTCAAAGGATTCCACAAACGTGGATTTTTTAAAAAATATTTTTTAAAGAATTCCACAAACGTTGATTTTTTAAAAAGTATTTTTAAAGAATTCCACAAACGTGGATTTTTTAAAAAATATTTTTTAAAGAATTCCACAAACGTGGATTTTTTAAAAAATATTTTTTAAAGAATTCCACAAACGTGGATTTTTTAAAAAATATTTTTAAAGAATTACACAAACGTGGATTTTTAAAAAATATTTTTAAAGAATTCCACAAACGTGGATTTTTTTAAAAAATATTTTTAAAGAATTCCACAAACGTGGATTTTTTAAAAAATATTTTTTAAAGAATTCCACAAACGTGGATTTTTAAAAAATATTTTTTAAAGAATTCCACAAACGTGGATTTTTTAAAAATATTTTTTAAAGAATTCCACAAACGTGGATTTTTTAAAAATATTTTTTAAAGAATTCCACAAACGTGGATTTTTTAAAAAATATTTTTTAAAGAATTCCACAAACGTGGATTTTTTAAAAAATATTTTTTAAAGAATTCCACAAACGTGGATTTTTTAAAAATATTTTTTAAAGAATTCCACAAACGTGGATTTTTTAAAAAATATTTTTTAAAGAATTCCACAAACGTGGATTTTTTAAAAAATATTTTTAAAGAACTCCACAAACGTGGATTTTTTAAAAAATATTTTTAAAGAATTCCACAAACGTGGATTTTTTAAAAAATATTTTTTAAAGAATTCCACAAACGTGGATTTTTTAAAAATATTTTTTAAAGAATTCCACAAACGTGGATTTTTTAAAAAATATTTTTTAAAGAATTCCACAAACGTGGATTTTTTAAAAAATATTTTTTAAAGAATTCCACAAACGTGGATTTTTTAAAAAATATTTTTTAAAGAATTCCACAAACGTGGATTTTTTAAAAAATATTTTTTAAAGAATTCCACAAACGTGGATTTTTAAAAAATATTTTTTAAAGAATTCCACAAACGTGGATTTTTTAAAAAATATTTTTTAAAGAATTCCACAAACGTGGATTTTTTAAAAAATATTTTTAAAGAATTCCACAAACGTGGATTTTTTAAAAAATATTTTTAAAGAATTCCACAAACGTGGATTTTTTAAAAAATATTTTTTAAAGAATTCCACAAACGTGGATTTTTTAAAAATATTTTTTAAAGAATTCCACAAACGTGGATTTTTTAAAAAATATTTTTTAAAGAATTCCACAAACGTGGATTTTTAAAAAATATTTTTTAAAGAATTCCACAAACGTGGATTTTTTAAAAAATATTTTTTAAAGAATTCCACAAACGTGGATTTTTTAAAAAATATTTTTTTTAAAAATTCCACTTTTGTAGAATTCCACAAAAATGGATTTTTAAAGAATTCCACAAACGTGGATTTTTAAAAAAATGTTAAAGAATTCCACAAACGTGGATTTAAAAAAAAAATTAAAGAATTCCACAAATGTGGATTTTTTAAAAATATTTTTTTAAGAATTCCACAAACGTGGATTTTTTAAAAAATATTTTTTTAAGAATTCCACAAACGTGGATTTTTTAAAAAATGTTTTAAAGAATTCCAAAAACGTGGATTTTTTAAAAAATATTTTTAAAGAATTCCACAAACGTGCATTTTTTAAAAATATTTTTTAAAGAATTCCACATACGTGGATTTTTTAAAAATTATTTTTTATAGAATTCCACAAACGTGGATTTTTAAAAATTATTTTTTATAGAATTCCACAAACGTGGATTTTTTAAAAATTATTTTTTATAGAATTCCACAAACGTGGATTTTTTAAAAATTATTTTTATAGAATTCCACAAACGTGGATTTTTTAAAAATTATTTTTGTAGAATTCCACAAACGTGGATTTTTTAAAAATTATTTTTTATAGAATTCCACAAACGTGGATTTTTTAAAAATTATTTTTTATAGAATTCCACAAACGTGGATTTTTTAAAAATTATTTTTATAGAATTCCACAAACGTGGATTTTTTAAAAATTATTTTTTATAGAATTCCACAAACGTGGATTTTTTAAAAAAATGTTTTAAAGAATTCCAAAAACGTGGATTTTTTAAAAAATATTTTTAAATAATTCCACAAACGTGCATTTTTTAAAAATATTTTTAAAGAATTCCACATACGTGGATTTTTTAAAAATTATTTTTATAGAATTCCACAAACGTGGATTTTTTAAAAATTATTTTTTATAGAATTCCACAAACGTGGATTTTTTAAAAATTATTTTTTATAGAATTCCACAAACGTGGATTTTTTAAAAATTATTTTTTATAGAATTCCACAAACGTGGATTTTTTAAAAATTATTTTTTATAGAATTCCACAAACGTGGATTTTTTAAAAATTATTTTTTATAGAATTCCACAAACGTGGATTTTTTAAAAATTATTTTTTATAGAATTCCACAAACGTGGATTTTTTAAAAATTATTTTTTATAGAATTCCACAAACGTGGATTTTTTAAAAATTATTTTTTATAGAATTCCACAAACGTGGATTTTTTAAAAATTATTTTTTATAGAATTCCACAAACGTGGATTTTTAAAAATTATTTTTTATAGAATTCCACAAACGTGGATTTTTTAAAAATTATTTTTTATAGAATTCCACAAACGTGGATTTTTTAAAAATTATTTTTTATAGAATCCACAAACGTGGATTTTTTAAAAATTATTTTTATAGAATTCCACAAACGTGGATTTTTTAAAAATTATTTTTATAGAATTCCACAAACGTGGATTTTTTAAAAATTATTTTTTATAGAATTCCACAAACGTGGATTTTTTAAAAATTATTTTTTATAGAATTCCACAAACGTGGATTTTTTAAAAATTATTTTTTATAGAATTCCACAAACGTGGATTTTTTAAAAATTATTTTTTATAGAATTCCACAAACGTGGATTTTTTAAAAATTATTTTTTATAGAATTCCACAAACGTGGATTTTTTAAAAATTATTTTTTATAGAATTCCACAAACGTGGATTTTTTAAAAATTATTTTTTATAGAATTCCACAAACGTGGATTTTTTAAAAATTATTTTTATAGAATTCCACAAACGTGGATTTTTTAAAAATTATTTTTTATAGAATTCCACAAACGTGGATTTTTTAAAAATTATTTTTTATAGAATTCCACAAACTTGGATTTTTTTAAAAATTATTTTTTATAGAATTCCACAAACTTGGATTTTTTAAAAATTATTTTTTATAGAATTCCACAAACTTGGATTTTTTAAAAATTATTTTTATAGAATTCCACAAACTTGGATTTTTTAAAAATTATTTTTTATAGAATTCCACAAACTTGGATTTTTTAAAAATTATTTTTTATAGAATTCCACAAACGTGGATTTTTTTAAAATTATTTTTTATAAAATCCATGTTTGTGAAATTCTTTAAAAAATATTTCTTCAAAAATCCATGTTTGTGAAATTCTTTAAAAAATATTTCTTCAAAAATCCACGTTTGTGACATTTAAAAAATATATATATTTTTTAAAATCCATGTTTGTGAAATTCTTTAAAAAATATTTTTTTTTTAAATCCACATTTGTGAAATTCTTAAAAAAATATTTTTTAAAAAATCCACTTTTGTGGAATTCTGCAAAAAATATTTTTTTTAAAAGTACACGTTTGTGGAATTCTTTAAAAATAATTTTTGCAATTTTTTAATTTGTTTTATTATTTTTTTAATAAATAATGTAATTTATTTAGTCATATATTATTTATTTTTTCTACATTTATTTCTTTTTAAAACCATATTTAAGATTATTTTCAAAATCCTCTTCAAACAACGACATCACCGCATACAACTGCGCGCCATAGTCCAATTCCAGCTTCATTGTACCGCCATAGCATTCGGGCAAACATTCGGGTGCTATAAATTCATGCAACGACTTGACATTCGAACCATGGAAATGGGTTCGTTTCGATAACTTCTTACTCATAAATGGTCGTACCAAATTGAAAACCCTATGAAATATGGCCGGTTCATTGATGAAATGCAAATCCTTGGGACGAAATGTGGCACCATCACGATACGATTCGACGTTACGTTTCGAATAGCTGGGAGTGAATTGCATGGCCTGTTCCATGCTGAGGCCAGCCATATCGGTTATGGCGACAATGCCATTAATCACGGTGTTCGGTTCCATGCGACACAATTCATGGCACAGGGCGGCGGCCATGAAGAATTCATCCTTGTGAATTTTTTTGTGATCCCAATATTCTGAAATCGTAAAATTGAAATGTTGTAGAGAAATTTTGAGAAAATATTTCAGAGGGCGTTTACTTCCTGATCTCATCAGTATTATCCTCCGTCCATATTGATCTCGCTTGGGCAGTATCAAAATTGAGTTCGACTCAAAAACGTGCTTCACTCTCTTTGGGGTGCAAACTGTAAAGATATCCGGATAACGTTGGCGGTATTTGTAGTGGGATTTGATCTGTGAGGCGAAAAAAAAATTAAAAAATTAAAAAAATTCCACAAACGTGGATTTTTTAAAAAATATTGTTTAAAGAATGCCACAAAAGTGGATTTTTTAAAAAATATTGTTTAAAGAATGCCACAAAAGTGGATTTTTTAAAAAATATTGTTTAAAGAATGCCACAAACGTGGATTTTTTAAAAAATATTTTTTCAAAGGATTCCACAAACGTGGATTTTTTAAAAAATATTTTTTTAAAGGATTCCACAAACGTGGATTTTTTAACAAATATTTTTTCAAAGGATTCCACAAACGTGGATTTTTTAAAAAATATTTTTTCAAAGGATTCCACAAACGTGGATTTTTTAAAAAAATATTATCTCAAAGAATTGCACAAACGTGGATTTTTTAAAAAATAATTTTTCAAAGGATTCCACAAACGTGGATTTTTTAAAAAATATTTTTTCAAAGGATTCCACAAACGTGGATTTTTTAAAAAATATTTTTTCAAAGGATTCCACAAACGTGGATTTTTTAAAAAATATTTTTTCAAAGCATTCCACAAACGTGGATTTTTTAAAAAATATTTTTTCAAAGGATTCCACAAACGTGGATTTTTTAAAAAATATTTTTTCAAAGGATTCCACAAACGTGGATTTTTAAAAAAAAATATTTTTTTCAAAGGATTCCACAAAAGTGGATTTTTTAAAAAATATTTTTTTAAAGGATTCCACAAACGTGGATTTTTAAAAAATATTTTTTCAAAGGATTCCACAAACGTGGATTTTTTAAAAAATATTTTTTCAAAGGATTCCACAAACGTGGATTTTTTAAAAAATATTTTTTCAAAGGATTCCACAAACGTGGATTTTTTAAAAAATATTTTTTCAAAGGATTCCACAAAAGTGGATTTTTAAAAAATATTTTTTAAAGAATTCCACAAACGTGGATTTTTTAAAAAATATTTTTTAAAGAATTCCACAAACGTGGATTTTTTAAAAAATATTTTTTAAAGAATTCCACAAACGTGGATTTTTTAAAAAATATTTTTTAAAGAATTCCACAAACGTGGATTTTTTAAAAAATATTTTTTAAAGAATTCCACAAACGTGGATTTTTTAAAAAATATTTTTTAAAGAATTCCACAAACGTGGATTTTTTAAAAAATATTTTTTAAAGAATTCCACAAACGTGGATTTTTTAAAAAATATTTTTTAAAGAATTCCACAAACGTGGATTTTTTAAAAATATTTTTAAAGAATTCCACAAACGTGGATTTTTTAAAAAATATTTTTTAAAGAATTCCACAAACGTGGATTTTTTAAAAAATATTTTTTAAAGAATTCCACAAACGTGGATTTTTTAAAAAATATTTTTTAAAGAATTCCACAAACGTGGATTTTTTAAAAAATATTTTTTAAAGAATTCCACAAACGTGGATTTTTTAAAAAATATTTTTAAAGAATTCCACAAACGTGGATTTTTTAAAAAATATTTTTTCAAAGGATTCCACAATCTTGAATTTTCAAAAAATATTTTTTCAAAGGATTCCACAATCTTGAATTTTTAAAAAATATTTTTTCAAAGGATTCCACAATCTAGAATTTTCAAAAAATATTTTTTCAAAGGATTCCACAATCTTGAATTTTCAAAGAATATTTTTTCAAAGGATTCCACAATCTTGAATTTTTTAAAAAATATTTTTAATGAATTGAAAATTTTCTTCAAAATCCCAAAAATGTCTTACCCTCTCTCTGGCATTTTCCGGATAGAATTTACAGATCCTTAAAAATCCCAAAAGCCATTCATTATACTCCAAGGGGACATCTAGGGTTTTTTCTTCTAAAAATGTTTCAAAAAAATCAAATTTAATTTTTTAATATTTGGAAAAATTCTTCCAATTACCCCTCAATAATTTCCTCAGCTCCTCCACACCCCTTTCAACATTTTCCTCGGTTTCTCGTAATTCCAATCTGGCTACCTCTTTCGCCTGATCACTGATGCTTTGTAGCTCCAATTTGAACATGAAATCTCCAAATCTGACTTCAGGTTCGATTTTTTGTGTGGTAAACATTTTTTTAATTCAAAACTTCGGGACAACACCACCACTACGTCTCACAAAATTTACAAAACTACTAAAAATTTAAGTCTATCATAGCTCTAGGCTATTAAAATTTCATTTTTTGTAATTTTTTTTTTGCTTTCTTCCCTTTTGTTAATAAATGTGCATAATATGTTGTTGTTATTGTTGCTGTTTTGCTGGAATTGCATAAATCGCAAATGCAAAGTGCCAACTTATGGATGTAATGAGTGCAATGGTCATTGGCCATGGGTGTATTCGACCAAATATGGAGACGGTCGAATGGTGGGAAACAATTTTGAACAAAAAATATTGAAAACATATTTTCAAACAAGTAAAAATGCAGGTTCGAGCTTTTAATACCCTCCACCATACGGAAGGAATTCGAAAAATTTTTAAAATTTTTTGAAAAAAAAAAAATCCGCTTTAATTAAAACCCTTATATGGTGGCTATTCGAAGGCGAGGACCTGCATACGAGATTTTTTGCCATAGGTTGAAGTACCCTTTCCGAACTTCAAATATGAAAATTGAAACAATTCCGTTGAATAATACCGCTAAAATCATCAAAATACCGAATATCGGGAGGTATCGTTATATGGGTGCTATACGAAAACCTAGACCTACGTATGCAATTTTCTGTCACATGTTGTAGTACCCATTACGAACTTTAAATACCAAATTTGAAACAATTTCGATGAATAATGTCGCTAAAATCATCAAAATACCGAATATCGGGAGGTATCGTTATATGAGAGCTATATGAAGACGTAGACCTGCACAGACAAATTTCTGTCATAGGCTGTAGTATCCATAACGAACTTCAAATACCAAATTTGAAACAATTCCGGTGAATAATGTCGCTAAAATCATCAAAATACCGAATATCAGGAGGTATTTCTATGTGTGAGCTATACGAAGACGTAGACCTGCGTAGGCAATTTTCCGTCATAAGTTAAAGTACCCATATACGAAGATCTGGACCTGTATAGACAAGTTTCCGTCACAAGCTGTAGTAACCAGTTCGAACTTCAAATACGAAATTTGAAACAATTCCGGTGAATAATGTCCCTAAAATCATCAAAATACCGGATATTGGAAGGTAACCTGGGGGGTATAAGAAGGCGTAGACCTGCATAGACATTTTTCCGTCATAGGCTGTATTACCAATTTCGAACTTCAAATACGAAATTTGAAACAATTCCGGGGAATACTGTCGCTAAAATCATCAAAATACCGAATATAGGGAGGTAACGTTATATGGGGGCTATACGAAGACCTTGACCTGCATAAGCGATTTTTTGTCGTAGGCTGTAGTATCCATTACGAACACCAAATACGAAATTTGAAACAATTCCGGCAAAAAATATCCCTGAAATTATCAAAATACCGAATAACAGGAGGTATCGTTGTGTGGGGGCTATACGAAAACGTAGGCCGACATGGCCCATTTACGAACTGAACCTACCTACTGATAAAATACACATGTGTGCAAAATTTTAGCCTTCTATCACAATTCGTTCCAAAGATAGCGCGATTAAAACATAAAGACAGACACACAGACGAACATAGGTAAATAGACGAGGTACGAGAGGTGGTGGTCCAATACCTATCAATTTTACGCCATATCTTGCTTAAGTAAAAATATTGGAATGTTCCGGGTTTGAAAAGAATCAGTTGCTCATTTCGCATTTTATAAAGTTCATGATTAATCACAATTTTGACCTTTTGTGGGGGAGGTACCAGAAGCAGTGGTCCGATATATTCCATCTTCGTATCGAATCTTGTGTTGATAGAAATATTGGGTTGTGTCGAGTTTGAAAGGTATCGGGTACTTATTTCGCATTTCATAAGCATTTTGGTTATTCAAAATATTGACCCTTTGTGGGGTAGGTACACGAAGAAGTGGTCCGACATATTCTATCTTCATACCAGGTCTTGTGTTGATAAAAATATTGGGATGTTCCAAGTTTTAAATTAATCGGATGCTCATCCAATGTTTTATGAAGTTCATGCTTTTTAAAAATGTTAGACCATTTGTGGGGGAGGTAACCGAAGTAGTCCGATTTATTTCATCTTCATACCAGATCTTGTTTTGATAGAAATATTGAGAGGTGCGAAATTTGAAGACGAGACGGGCCCTAATTTAAATTTTTAAAGAGCTACAATTATTCAAAGTATTGACCCTTTGTGGGGGAGATACTAGAAGCAGTGGGTCGGAATTGTTCATTTTCACGCCACGCCTAGTACAACAAAAATATAAGGAATTGCGAAGTTTGCACAAAATTGGATGATTTTTCCTTTGTTGTGTTAGGGAAATTATTTTCTATGAAAATTTTGACATTTTGTGGGGGAGGTAGCAGAAGTTGTGGATCGATACTGTTCATCTCCGTACTCAATCTAGGTTCGATAATAATTTTACGATGTACCAAGTTTGAACCTATTCGGACACTCCCTTTGAGAGTTATCGTGCTCACCAGCCAGACAGACAGTCGGACAAACGGACGAATACCCCTAGATTATTTTGATGAGACACCTTTTGACCGTACCAAATGATATATACCCTGCCATGTGGCTGAGGTTGCACAAAAATACATTCTTAAAAATAAAACTAAAAGAAAAAGCTATATACAAAATCTTTATTTAAAAATCATTTTATTTAATTAAAAGAATTCCTTCATATTATCAGGGCAACCAGTCAGCGGCTATAGAACGTCGACAAACATATTTCAATATTCTGTGAAAGAGAGAAAGAGATACGTTATGTGTAAAATATTTAAATTTTTCGAATAAAAACTAATGTAATTTTTTTTCAAAAAAAAATATTTTTTTAAAAAATGTTAATGTTTTTTCTATAAAAGTATCCAAAAATATTCTAAATTTCCCAAAATTTTATATAAAAATACCCAATTATGTTATTATTATTATTATTATTATTATTATTATTATTATTATTATTATTATTATTATTATTATTATTATTATTATTATTATTATTATTATTATTATTATTATTATTATTATTATTATTATTATTATTATTATTATTATTATTATTATTATTATTATTATTATTATTATTATTATTATTATTATTATTATTATTTTTAATATTATCAATATTTAATACATTTTAAATATTAATACTCTAAAAATTAAATAAAAATTTTACATTCCTAAATTTTTTAGAAAAATTCTATTTTTTATGTCTTTAAAAAAATTAAATATTATTTTAATTTTTTCTATACATATGTCCAAAAATATTTTAAGTTTCCAAAATTTTATATAAAATGCCCCATTTAATTATTATTTTATTTATTTTGTATTTTGTTTTAGTATATTTATTTTATTATTATTATTCTTTTTTTGTAAAATAATTTATTTTTTAAGCCGATAGCCCAAAAAAAATTAAAAAAAGTTAAAAATTTTAAATATTAATACTCTAACAATTAAATGAAAATGAAAAATTTATTTAATTTTTTCATTGATTTCCCCAAAAATATGCTGTTATTTTTTCAAAATTCCTGCAAATTTTTCTCATTTAAGCAATTTTAATTTTTTGATTTGATGTTATTAAATTATTTCATACACACAAATATTGAAACGTTTTTATAAAAAAAGACTTCAACAATTATATTTAAATCTTAATTTCTAACTTTTTTTCAAAAACTATTAAAAAAAGTTAATTAATTTTTATTTTTTATACAAATTTTTCCAAAAATATTCTTCTAAATTTTCCAAAATTTTATATAAAATGCCCCATTATTATTATTATTTTTTTTTTCTTTTTTTTTTTGTAAAATAATTGAATTTTTAATCCGATTTTCTGAAAAAAAAAAAACAAAAAAGTTTAGAAGATTAGCCCTTTCCTTTTTTAGATTTAGATTTTTTAAACAAAAAACATATTGCCCCATAATTTATATTTAATGATGTGTTATTTTTTATTTTTATGTTATTTATTTAATTTTTTGAGTCAAAAATACCTAACAGAAATATTCTGTTATTTTTTCAAAATTTTATATTGAAAAAAGAAGCTAATTTATAAAATTTATATAAAAAATTAAAAAGACTTCAAAAATTATTGTTAACCCTTACTTCTTACTTTTTTACTGTTTTCAATAAATATTTAAAAAAATAATTTTTTTTCTATAAAATGTATGCAAAAATATTCTAAATTTCCCAAAATTGTTATACAATGCCCCTATTTAATTATTTTTATTATTTAATTCATTTTTTATTTTGTTTTTATATATTTATTTTTATTAAATTTATTTTGAAAATCTTTTATTTTTGCACCAATTTTTCACAAAGGATGCAAAAATATTTGAATTTTTAAATATTGATGAAAATTTTAAATTCCTAATTTTTATAGATTTTGATTTTCAATACAAAAATCAGTATATTGCCCCAAAATGTATATTTAATGAATAAATTATTTAGTATCCTAATTTTTTAAAATTTTTCAAAAAATATTAAAATAAAAAAAAAAAATATTTTTATTTTTTCTATAAAACTATTACAAAAATATTCTAATTTTCCCAACATTTTATATAAGAATTCCAATTTAATTATTATTGTTTATTTATTAATCATTATTATTACTTTTTTGAAAGTTATTTATTTAATAATTATTTTTTAATCCTAATTTCTTACATTTTTTATTTTTTATTTTTTCTATAATTTTTTTCCAAAGATATTCTAAATTTCCTAAAATTTTATATAAACAAAATAAAAAAATATAAAATAAAAATTTCAATTTAATTATTACTACTATTATTATTTATTATTAATTTTTTTCCAATCATTTATTTAATAATTATTTTTTATCCTAATTTCTTACAATTTTCTCAAAAAATATTTAAAACATTTGAATAATTTTTTATGTTTTCTATCAAATTTCTCCAAAAATATTCTTTTAATTTTCCAAAATATTAATAGAAATCTCCTTTTAATTATTTTATGATTATTTATTTTGTTTTTTTATATTTTATTTTTAATCGGATTTTCACAAAATATCAAAAACTTAAATTTTAATGCTCTAAAAACTAAA